GATAGATAGATAGATAGATAGATAGATAGATAGATAGATAGATAGATGCACTTTATTAATGTAAAACTGTAAAACTATGGTCCATTTAATGGCCCTAAATTATCGACTATAGCCTAGCTTTGTGTGATAAATAGTAAGGGTTTAGGTGATTTTCTTTCTTTTCCTAGGTTTTTTCAGGCCAGAGGGTATACGTAACCCTTAGAGGGAGTTCTGGGTCTACTATAAAGCCTCTTGACAGGCCCTAGGGTAGACCGCGACATCCGTTACAGATCATTTTTATTCCAGAAAATCATTAACAGGACCAAGGGGGTTGTCCCTGATGGGGTAAAATAATTATGTATATTTCTACTCTTGGGATAACTTGGGAAACTCTTTCAAAATGATTAAATAACATGTATATTCTTTGTAAAATAATATTTAACTAGGAGATCAACATGTTGCATAACAGCGAACATTTCTATGCAATACACTGATCAAACAACAGGGTGTCTTTGTTATACGGAGGAGGTTTCAAAATTTCTGTTGCAATTATTTTCCCTTACATGCTCCAACAGTTTTTAACAAAGACTTTTGTGAGAGAACAGGGTATTTCCCCATAGCAAAAGGCATAGAGTGTAGTTTTGTTTGGTCTTTTTTCTTTCTTTGACTTTTGCGTCTTTTAATTAATTGATTTTTAGCAGCAAAAAAAGAATACTTCCCTTTCTCATGAATTGTATCACATGAAAAGTACTATATTGGTATCAAAGTTGTCAAAATGCAATCAATAAGTCCTGCTCCCATTACTGTGTTGGCTACCAGGTGTGTTTGATACCGAGTCCCCACAGCTAAGATAACACAGCATTCCTATCCCCAGAGACATACTTCCCAGGGTTAGATTTCTTCTATCGTTACAATTCCATGTGTGTGTGCTTGTCTGAATATCTGACCTGCCAGTTGAAGAGCTTGAATCTGAGTCCCAGCTGCCTGTAGTCAATGACAACATTGTCTCTCATATGCTTCTGTGCCCATATACAGTCAGAGAGTGCCTCTTCCAACCTAGAGAGAGAACATTGACATATACAAACACAAATGGATTTAAAAAAAAAAAGTTTTTGATTTGTTTATTTATGTATTTTCAATTCAAAAGACTGTTCAAATTAAAATTGTTACTTAGAAAAAAGAAAAAAAAACGGCCTGTTTCTCTTCAATTGGTTGGTTATTGTGGCTCATTTTCAATGATCTTTTAATTTCTTAACTTAATTGATTATTTTCTGGTCCCAGCATAACTCTCGTAAGCATGCTTTGTTTAGATTTGATTGTTTTCACCCAAATAAGGTCAATTACATTTACAAAATTTCGATTAACCCTATAATGCCAAATGTATCATATTTGATACATACGTTTTCTGAAATGTTTTACCTCTGACACCTTTTGCTTAGTTTAATGGTAAAAACTTTGCTCAAAATCCTATTGTACACAATCAGATACACCTGAAAACATGGGGCAGAAAATAATCTTGACTTATCACATAGTAATAAATTATTAATATTTAAAAGTATTTCTGTTTTTTGTTTTTACATACAATTGTTAAAAGGCCATATAAGGAATTCAAACCAAAAAAGTAATTTTCTGTTTTGTTTTATTCTTGGATCGGGCTTTAAAGGGTTAGGGATAAGTAAATCTTTGTACAGTTTGCAGTTATACATTTTGAAAATAAATGGAACAGTATATTTGTGACAGAGCTTCATCTAGAACTGAAAGATATGCATCCACTCCTAAACTTAGAAGTTCCTGGATGCAGGCAAATGGACTGCCTTTCGACAATTTAAATACTAATTTGTTTGTGTGACCTTTGCGGGACATGTTGAAGGTAAAGAGTATTTCCTTATAACCCAAACACAGGTCTGTTTATCTCACCTATCAATCTGCATCATCACTGCTGCCCTCTGGAAGAATCCAACAGCGAGGCGTTCATCCTTTGCAATGGTGAGGTCTAAAAACTGATCATCACAGAGGAGACATGGCAACATGTTTTCACTTGACTTTTCAATTAAATTAATTCAGATGTACTTAAATTATACCATAATATGTTGGATATGGAAAATCTTTTAGAAACTGCATGCCATTTAAATTGTGTGTGCAGATGCTTATAACATTGTAAACTAATTAGTAACAACTAAAAGTGATTCATTAGCAATCAGAACAATAGTGTCCTACATCTTAACCATTCCTTTGGCATAGTTTTTTTTAGAACATTTCCTTCCGTAATGCTCCTCCAGGAATTTGAGCATCTTACTTAAATTATACCATAATATGTTGGATATGGAAAATCTTTTAGAAAACTGCATGCCATTTAAATTGTGTGTGCAGATGCTTTTGGTACTTCCTAGTTATAAGCTAGGAAAATCCAAATTTCTAACATGTGAATCCTTGAAGATTTCGTAAGACTACAATGAAATTAATTAAACAACCCAAATAAAATGAGTATTTCTAAAGCACTAAAAAAGAAAATGAAATTAATTCCTTTGAGTTCATCTGTCCATTTTGATATACTTGGGTTGTTTTTTTTTTTTCTATACATCCTGTCTCAGACTACTCAGAAAAACCTAAACCAGTATGTTCTTATCAAGTTGGACTACTGTAATGCTTTATTATGGGGCTGACCCAAAATTTCTCTGCAATCCTCCAGTTACAGAATGGGTTCAGTTAGACACTTCAGTTGCCTATCTTTTCAAACCAGTGGCCAGTATACTTCTTGGAAGCAAACGGTCTCTCTATTTTTTAAGAAAAGACCTAAACTTTCCTTTTTGAATAAGTCTATTTGAAAATGGATAAGGTGACTGTGTAATATCCTATTGTTATGTTGCTACCGGCCTTGACCACTGGGTGAGCTCAATGACCCACATTTGCTCATTCTGTTTTCTTTTTCTATCTATGACCATATGGCATTATTGTAATTAAGCTGTATTTATTTTTATCTTCCTCAGTAGTTATCCTTGCACTTTATATCTTAAGGGATGCATTATCTTAAACCAACAAATTACTTTATTCTGGTTTTATCATTTCTGTCCTATATTTTTATTTCTACATTTTATTTCTTGCTTCTCATAGAAGTGTTGTGTTGTGCACCAAACACCAAGGCAAATTCCTTGTAAGTCTAAAAACCTACATGGCAAAAAACCTTATTCTGATTCTGATTCTGATTCATAGATAGATGTAACTGCATCACCAGTATAACAATAGAAGTTTGTGACATGTTGTTTAATGATGTTTTATGTTTAGACATGTATGAAGTGAATAGAATGCACAACATTTGCACAATGGTGAGCTATTCATAGGATTACATAATACTTTAATTAAATTGAAATGAATTGAACTAAATTAGTTTCACCTCAAACACTAACCTTCAGAGCCATGTCCAGTTGTCCCAAGGCCAGGTGAGCTGAGGCGGTGTTAAACAGTATGTAAGAAGTGGGTTCACTAATCTGCTCAAGTTTTTCCAGCGCTCCTTGCCAGTCTCTGGCATCCATGATTTCAACTGACTCATTCCAAATCTGCAGCAAATCCGTGTAAAGCATTTTGGCCTGGAACACAGCAAAATACATACAAATCATGGTATACATCTCTGCTTTAGTTTGTTTTTGACAAGCCATTAAGTGATGCAACAAAGTATAAACAGTGACCTTTCTTATGAAAAGATTAGGGAAAATAGTTAGTTTTCTCTCCCACTCCAAACAAATAAAATAGATATCTGATGTCAATGACAATCTTTGCCCAGGTGGAGAAGGGTCATATTGGGAAGCCAGGACCCTGTAAATGGTGTGCAGGGTCACAGTATCATGTGACACTGATACTGTACATCCCTTTCTGTGCTTGTAGGTTATGGAGTCTTTCTCCCATTTCCAATCGAGGCTATAGGTTGATTCCTGGGGATTGACCTTATCCTGGGCAAACCACAGGTCTAGGCTCAGTGATCTGGCTTTTGGGGCCAAATCTAAAACACTTGGTGTATTGAAGGCCCATTGTCGCAGCTCGAATTATGCAAATGACAAAGGATTTCCCTTGTTGTTGTATAACTTCTCTCAAATCTCAGATTTATCTTGTGCATTTATCTTGTTGAGATGTTTCCCTTGGCTCCCCTTTGGTTTCTTCATGGTGCACTGAGCTGCTTGGTGAGGTTGATGTTAGCCATACATATGCTAATCAAGTGGTCAACACTAGAGTGAATGACCTCATTTAAACAGTTATTTGTTGTTGCAAATGACTACAAAAGATGTGACATTTGTTGTCTATTTTCTTTGATTTACCAGAATAAATGAACATTCTTTGCAATAATACAAACCTTCATATGTCTTACTGATTCCATTTAAGGCTCAAAGTAGTCCAAAAAAATACACTGTCCAGAGGAAGGCAAACTTAAGGCAAAAGGATCCTCTAACAATGACGTCCACAGGAGTGTCAATTATCAAGACACTGAACTCCATGTTGACGTCCAGTGTATGAATATATAATATAAGTTAAAGGGCGAATGTAGCATGCATTGTCCATCTGCTCTTCCTGGATTTCTCCTCAACCTTCAACACCGTCATCACACAGACCCTGGTGTAGAAGCTCTACACTCTTGGACTGAGTCCCATACTGGGGTGGTAAAGGCTATACCGAGGACTGTGGGGAGAAGCCTTCCCACCACGTCAGACCTCTACACATCAAGATGCAGAGGGAGGGCCCTCTGTATCACGAAAAACAAAAAAAAACAGAATAACAAAAAATCAAAACAAAAAATATATAGCAAGACCCTAAGATACTTGAACTCCCCCACATGGGGGGGGTCCTCGTCTCCAACCCAAAGAGGACACTCCACCCTTTACTGGCTGTCTCATTTTTGGAGGTGTTTATTTAATTCCAACTGCTTTACACTCGGCTGTGAATCGCTCCAGCAGCATAAAAGTTATGTACAGGATTGGTGACAAAGTGCAGCCTTGGTGGAGTCCCCTTAGTGGAAATGAATCTGACTTCCTGCCTGCAAACCAAACCAAACCATGACACCGGTCGTACAGGGAAAAGACAGCTTGAACAAGAGCGTGCGGTACTCCGTACTCTCGGATCACCTCCAACAGGAGTCCTTACAGTAGGAGTTTATCGCCCTTTCCAAGTCTACAAAGCACATATAGACTGGTTGGGCAAACTTCCATGTCCCCTCAAGGACCCTGAAGAGGGTATAGAGTTGGTCCATTGTTCCGTACAGGACATAAACTGCACTGCTCCTCATCCAGTCGAGATGTGACCATCCAACTGACCCTCCTCTCCAGGAACCCCTGATCAGACCTTACCAGGGAGGCTGAGGACTGTGATCCCCCTGTAGTTTGGACATACTCAGCAGTCTGCCTTTTTAAAAAGGGGGACCGCCACCCCAAAGTCCCCAATGTACATGCAGTGTGTGCCAACCAAGACAGCCCCGCAACATGAGCCTTAAGGATCTCCAGGTGGATCTCATCCACCCCCAGTACCCTGCCATTGAGGAGCATTTTAACTACCTCAGTGACCTCAGCCCTGGTGATAAGAGAGCCCACATCCGCGTCTTCCGACTCTGCTTCCTCATTGGAAGGCACGTCGCTAGGATTGAAGGCGGCTTCAAAGTATTTCCCCAAAGGCCTGAGTCAAGTTCAGCAGCTTCCCATTCCTACTATACACGGTATTGATTAGGTGATTGACCAGAATCTCTTCAATGAAGCCCAGAAGTTGTTCTCCATGGCCTCTCCAAACTCCTCCCATGTCTGAGTTGTGGGTTCTCCAACACTCCATCTAGGGTCTCCAAAAGAGGTGGCTACTCTGAACTGCTGTTTGGTGTATAAGCACACACAGCAGTGATGACCCGTCCACCCCATCCAAAGGCGGAGGGAGGTATTTGTGGGCTGGACGACAGTCAAGGACAGGGACCCGTGTGGTCTGATCCTCGGTGACAGAAGCTCGCTGTAGAGAAGTGGAACGTTATCTCTCTGGTGGGGAAGGAATCTGAGCTATTTTTTGAAGTTCAGTGGCTCCGGCTAGATATGATCGGAATCACCTCGATGCACAGCCTGGGTTCCGGAAAAAGATTAACAACCCAAGGTGTTAAAACCAACTGATTGTTACAAAACATGGTTAAAAAAGGAATGTTTAAGCTGTGTTGTTATAATTACTTTGACGGTTCTTCTACAGCTTCTTCTGAATCTAATCTAAGGATGTTGAAGATGAGAGGACCCTGTCTATATTGGATACTCAGTACTGCATTTTAGTCATTTAAACTTGAGTAACAATGTGCGAGACAGAGTGGATCATGACAATATCATAATAACAATAATAATAATAATATACATTAACAAACAAGTAATTAAAAAATGCTGCAGGCTTTGACCCAAAACAACTGTGAAAAATTATGCTTCTTTACATTACATAAGGAAAACAATGTTTAAAATACATTGGTTGTGAGATAATTGTTGCCGTAAATTATATATTCATATTTTCTAAATAAAAGACATAATCAGAATCAGAAATTAGGTTTCTCAGAGTTAACTGTTTTTTTTTTTACTAGTGTTATTATAATGAAGCATTCATGCACATGTTTGTATAGATCCAGTATAAAATTGGCTTGCAACACTTAAGGAAGTAAACCGCAGTAAGATTGAATGCACTGTGTTGACTGACTAAAGTGTTTTTTAACTAATTTAATCTTAGATTGTATAAGTTTGCTGCTGCGTAAACATACTCTGCTATCTTGCAATATTGTAATGGATGCATTTTTGCACTAATTAAAGTCCTTTTCACGATTACCATTTAGATTATGAAATCTAAGATATTTATGTAACAAAAAGAGTGCGGGCAGAATATGACATATAAATACATTTCTCAGATTGCTTTGATGTAAATTTAAAAAAACAATTGCAAGAGAAGAGTAATCTTAGTTTTAAAATTATGCATTCCTCAGAATATATACTGTCCAATTTACTTCACACAGTTATTCTCACAGGTGAATAGTCTCTTTAAGAAATTACATTAATCATCAACCATTATAAACACTTACCATAATGAAAATATGGTTAGAGCTCTGTAAACGTTGGTCTCAAACTGCACCTGCTGTTCCCACAATCTACTGGAGCCGAAATGCAAGTAGGAGAGACTAGACTCATAAAGAGTCTCCACCCATATACTAAGAAGGACAGCCCATGTATATGTAAACCAGATTTACCTAAAGGCACAATGGGGATCAATGTCATCTAAGGATAAAGCTAATCAGTAGAACTGATGTGTTGAAACATTATTTGACTGCTATATTAGTTTTTTCCTAGTGAAATCCTGTATTTTGTCATATGCATAGTAACAATAGATTTGTTTAGGGCATCTTTGTTAAATCTAAGTCACAGTATTTTCCTTCCAGAGCTATTTCCTTGAGTTTAGATAACAGAATTGCTTGAAAGTTTTGACTGAGGGCTATTCAGAGTGACCTTTAATCCCATTACACAGGAATTCTTTTGAGGAGGAAGTCATGATAAAATCCCTTAGTTGTCCAGATGCCACCATACGTCACATTTCCAGTACGTATCCTTCTGGGTCAACCTGCTGCACAGGTTCATTTTGTTAACACCCAGTATCACAGCCACATTCTTTTACCTGCCTACCTTGGAAACTCCCTAAATATATGCAACGCAAAATTACAGTAATTATATTCAGCACTTCCCCAAGTGCTCAATCTATCTTCTGTCTATCTACTGATTTTTCTGGTAAAGGTTAAGTATCCAGGAAGTCAATAAAATTAACAACTTCATGATAACCAAAAACAAAACCTCTATTGTCTTTAAAGTTAAGATTAGAACATATTTTAATGTTTAACCATATGATATTAAGAAAACATTTTATTAAACTTTAAGCAGCAATGACTACATTCGGCTAAATACAAAATACTAAATACAAGGAACACAAAATTAAGAATCGCAGAGAACTGTTGGTTGTTTATTTGTATACAAAATTGACAATTTGAACATACTTTTACCTAGCAGTAACACATTGGTTTTTCACAAAGTCACAATTTTTCCTTAAAAAACAACAAACACGTATAGCATAAAATGCAAGCAGAATTACGAGGTGCCCTCAAATGCAGCATGAAAAAAAACAAAAACAGAAATCATGTGACAGGTCGGGTTCGCGCAGGCGCGGACGAAGTGACCACATTAATTAGTCCAAGTGACATTGTCTGTGGAATATGAATATAATGTTACGTATCTTCACGGTGACAGCATATCTGCTTTTTCCTAGCATGCTGTACGGGCTGCCGTACAGTTATTTTCAGGTACAATTTCAGTTTTCTCCTAAGCGTTCGTTACGGAAATCTCAGTTTAAATTTGAGGAAGCTAACTTCAGAAGTCTTTGTGGTGTGCTCGCAGTAATTTGGAAGTAAGACTTCTACTATGTATACGTTTCCAATGCACAAGTACAGGCAAGTGTTGTGTTTAGACCAGGTTGAAAAAACGCCACGTTGCCCACCATGTAAAAAACTTGAACAGAATTACTCTGTGTGACTTGCTGCTCATTTTTCTTAGGCGAAAGACCAGTATGGTACCAATGCAAACCCTGAATTTTCTGAGAAGTACTTCATACAGACTGTGGACCACTTCAACTTTAACAGCATGGGAAACGCGACTTTTAGCCAACGTTACTTGATAAAAGGTGAAAGCAGCATCCATTTAAGAAACGTGACAAATCCAACAACGACTGATTGGTTTCCTATTTCTCTATTTTCAGAAACGTTCTGGAGGAAAGGCTCTGGTCCCATCTTCTTCTACACTGGAAATGAGGGGGATATCTGGGAATTTGCCCTGAACTCTGGTTTCATACTAGAGTTAGCTGCTCAACAGGAGGCTCTGGTCATATTTGGTGAACATGTATGATTATACCGGCACTACTAATGAAACATCACAGTCAAAAGTTTACATTTTATTGATAAGGGGTGTACAGTGCGAAAATAATACAGGGAAATGGATGGTTAGAGTTTGTCTTCTTCATTTATTAGAGTATTTGGACTGGAATTGTACAAGCTGATTTGATTTAAACTATAGTTCACCACTGGAAAAAAAAAAGTCAGCTGGTGTATAATAATTTCCTGATCCTTTTTTAAATGTTAGGATTATATATGTTAGGATTAATGTATGTAATCAGCTTTCTCTGTTGATACATTTGTATAAAACAAAACAAGATTGGGAATTTGGGCCTTTATAAGTTCAAAATATGGGAGAGAAATGACTGAAAAAAACATTTTGAAAGGAAGGAAGGAAATTAGATTTTTTTTTTCTAGTGTTAAAAAAGCTCACTCTCATAACTATTTTTATTACCATAAAGACCTTGATATATCTCATCCTATAGTGAACTCATTCAGAAGTGTATGTATTATTCTATTTTTACTGTTGACATCATGGACAGTGCACATCAGGAGATCGCTCAGACATAGACAGCGTGCTCCTGATGACTCTTTATAACTTGGGCATAGCTACTATACTGTATCATACAAGATACAGTGTTAGAGTTAATATAACATTTCTAGAAATGTATTGAAAATTTAGACTAAGGAATCATTCTTCATCTTGAATCCTCTGTCTTTTTGTCTTTGTCCCTGTCTCCCTCCCAGAGGTACTATGGAAAATCTATGCCGTTTGGCAAGGACTCCTTTAATATCCCTCAAGTGGGTCTACTCACTGTGGAGCAAGCCCTTGCCGACTACGCTGTCATGATCACTGAGCTGAAGCATCAGCTAGCAGCTGCAAACTGTCCTGTGATTGTGTTTGGCGGCAGGTAACATTTACCTGAACTTCTCTGTGTTGGGGTTGTTTATTTGAGTGGCTGAACACTGGTAAATTATTCTTTAATTGCGTGTCCCACAGCCCTTTATTTTACAATGTAGTAAAATTCTCTATGACAAAAAAATTGGACCTAAAGAAATCCCATTGCTGCATTTAGAACATAATTAGAAAAAAAACATGCAGTGATCCAGTAGAAAGTATTCTTTATCTAAACAAGACTGGATTGGACTGAAAAATCTGAGATTTAAAAGAGGAATACGGACAATCTTTTTCTGAATTCCAGTTACACAATTTTGATTTGATATCTCTTTATTTTCTCAGCCTGAAATTTTTACTAGTTTATTTTTCCCTTCCATGAATTTCAATTTATTCCCAAAGCCCTATTTATTTCCATGTCTTTCTTTTTTTTATTTGATTTTTAATTTCTTTTTTTACATATATTTGTTTTTTTGTTTTCCAAGGAGTTCAGATTTGGACCTATTGCTCAATTAAAAGGAACATAAAGGGTCTGTACAAAAATATGCAAAGAAAATGTAAAACTAGTTAAAAAAGGCTTGACAAAAGAAATTAAAAAGGTTAGATAGATCACTTAAGTGTAAAGCATCCATTAGAGAAGTGTTTCCCAACTCTGTTCCCAAAGGCACACTGCCCTGTGTGTTTTCCAGGTTTCCCTCCACCAGCACAACTGATTGAAATTAATGAGAACCTTTTTCAGCTCTGCAGACGGCGCTTTTGTCTAATTCATTTGAATAAGATGTGCTGCAGCAGGGAAAACATTCAGGGCAGTCCATCTTGAGGACCAGGGTTAGGAAAAACTGCATTAAAGCAAATCAATTGTTTGCTAAATTGGATATTATAGTGAAAGAGTGATTTCAAATAATCCTTACAAAAATATAGTTGGAAATCAGGTCAAATGTAGGGTTACATTCAATTTCTTTCTTTCATTTTAATACCTCAGTGACCAGTCAGCACCATTTAAATGAGTCTGCAATGATTTCCTTAGAGGGGAAAAATGATTTTAAGTAGTTCTTGAAATAGTAAAATGAATATGTGTAATTTTCTGATAAAAAAAAAAATTAAGTGTTTTTTTCTTTTTGTAAATACGATCTTCTCTGTGTCTCCAGTTATGGTGGAATGCTGTCGGTCTATATGAGACTTAAGTATCCAAACATCGTTGCTGGAGCTCTAGCAGCCAGTGCCCCTATTCTGTCCACTGCTGGTCTGGGAGACACGAGGCAGTTTTTCAGGGATGTTACAGCTGTAAGTTCTTACATGCCATTTTTCTTCCTTTGATGGTGCACAACTTCTGATTTCTGGTGATTTTTGACAAAAAGGTTTTATGTGTAATTATGGTATTCGCTTTCTTTGGTCATAAAGGGATGATATTAACTTAATTTGGTTAAGTTGCAACTATAGACACCACTGTGGAGGACTTAAAAAGAAAAAATGATAGATGTATAAATATATATATATATAGCATTATAAAGCAATTACGGAAATTAGAACTGAAATATAAATGAGTAGTTTATTGATTAATTTTTAAAAAACATTTCCATATGAATGCTTTTATTTCTGATGAAGTATTCCTTAAAATAAAGTGTACAGGTACCTTAAGTGAAATATATGGACCTAGCTAGGTAATATCTCTTACGTTTAAATCCTTAAACGTAAAATTGTATTCTCAAATTAAAAGTGAGTCATTAGGCCAACCTAACTTTATTGTATGGATGTAACTTGTACTGTATATTTGGTTAACAGTTGAGATGAATTGTATGAAATCAAGGAATCTCCATTCCTTGATTTGATGTTTGACTGCATTGTGGTGGCATTGTCTTCCTTACAGAACTTTGTCTCTTTAAATATTAATCTGTGAAATCTGTGAAAATCTGCTTTTCTGTCTAAGGTTTGCATGTGCAAATTTGTGTTCTAAGTTAACCTCACTTTAGTGTGAGAGTGCCAATTTTTCCAATTGCGATAGCCAGCATCCAGGATTCAGTGGTAATAGAAAATAAAACATTTCTGATTTGAAAACTTCAAAAGCAGTGATTTAAAGAAGCTGTTGCAAATTCATGACTCTAGCTGATACAAATCTAAGCAAATGTACTTAGATGTACTGACAAATGTACTTTTCAATTCAGACTGTTATAGTTGTAGCTTGAACATGCTTTTTCACCATATTAAATAATTTGGTTTTGTTTCTGTCCTCAAAATGGTTAAATGTTTTAAGTGAACTGAGCATTTAATTTAGACATCATGGGGAAGCCAGAAGCTGTACACAGGAATAAAAACGTTTGTATGTTGGAAAATACTATATCTTAGTTTTTTATTCTCAGGACTTCGAGAACATTGCGACTGAATGCAGAGATGCTGTTCGACAAGCTTTTCATCAGCTGAAGGAATTAGCAGAGTCCCAAGGTAAAAAACAAAACAAAAAACAGTATGAGTCCTTCTGAAGAGGTTGGCTTTGATTTTGTACACTCACCTGAATGTATTACTGTGTTCCAAATGCACCATTGACCCTAAAGATTAATTCATTTAAGTTTGAATTTTCTGATTTCTTTTGCCTTATGCTATCTGTCAAGTGGAAAATCTTATTGTTGACCTAACTCATAAAAAAAGAACTCAGTGTGTATATATATATATATATATATATATATATATATATATATATATGTATATATATTTTTTTTTGTGTTCAGATTACAGCCGGATCCAGTCCGAATTTGCCCTATGTAACCCTCCATCGTCTGGTCAGGACATCAACCAGCTCAATGGTCTTCTCAGGAATGCCTTTACAATGATGGCCATGCTAGACTACCCTTACAGCACTCACTTCATGGGTAACATGCCGGCCAATCCTGTCAAGGTAAATGTTTTCTAGAAGTAGTACAAGGTTAGATGAAAAATTAGGTGTTGAGCATATTGTGTGTGAACATAGGGCATAACAAGTCATTATGTGTTGTGCACTGCTTGTGCCATTTTCAGATTCCTCTTATACATACTTTTTTTGCCTATCTAAGTAGGATAACTGTATGGGCCTTTAATATGAGGCACACACATACAAGCACAGAAAAGTAACAGTAGGCTCATAGCTCTTTAAAGCAACTCTCCTTTAAATAATCAACAAGATGCAACTGTTAGTTCTTGACATTTATCTAGCACAGACAAATCTGAGTATTTTTTGGAATGAATTTGCCTTCTTTCCCCAAAATATCTTCTTTGAAAAGAAATCTCTACACAATAATGCTGTCACTGATTTTAATGTTGATGTAGCACATGATGTATTTTGATACCTTCTGATATCTACTTTTAATCTTAACCCTGTGTGTGCATCATGTACTGTCAGTATCATCCTATGTCATTTTTGGCTTTGTGCAACACCTTTAAAGCTAATAACTTCACAAATTTCATAAATAGTAGGATGTTTTCCATCTTTTAGAGCTGGAATTTTTGTATTACTTTGTATTTAGAAATCAGTCTTTGAGATCTCTACTTTTGCATCTTTATATAATGACCAAATGTTAATATCATGGGCTTATAAAAAAATATCATGGATGTTACTACTTTGAATCAGTATACAATATATCTTGGATAATTATTATGTGTAATGGGTTTTGGTGGTTATAGCAACTGCAATACGCCTCCATCCACAACTCCAATAGGAAAAAGTGGTATAGAAAATGGATGAATTAATATATAAACAGTATGCCATAGTATAGCCATAGTAATTGGCTATGTTCGTCATGTTATGTATATAAACATCTATGAACAAAAAATACAAATAAATGTATCCAATTTTTCACTTATAAAATCTATCAGGCTGAAGTTGACCTATTGTATGACGGTTTTCAGGTGGCCTGTCAAACCATGCTCAGGGGATCTGACCTGCTGGCTAATCTCAGGGACACTGCAGGTACATCATGCAGCTGAAGAATTGTTCATTGAAGTGCAGATTTGTGTGTACATAGCTCCAAACAGACTAACGACTGATTGTTTTATTGGGTAGCAGGTCATTAGTGCATGTTGTTATGCATATGATTTTTAATTTACATTTTTTGTAAGCCTCAATATAAACATAATTTACATTGTACACTGTGAGGCTTTGCAACTGTTGAGCAGCTGTAGTCTGAGTAATACACACAGACTGACATAAATCAACGGTATGAGTTGGTATGATGGAGTCGAGTACTGTAATTTTTCTAGATTGTATAATGCACCTGTTGTAAGTAGAGGAGCAAACTCAGAATCCAGTCTCAAGTTGACTAATGTCATGCATGTGTTCCAACCTGAAGGGATCGTATACAACTCTACTGGGATACTGGCTTGTTTTGACCCGTACAGTCTGTATAAGGAGTGTGCTGATCCAACTGGATGTGGACTGGGCTTCGACAGCTTAGCATGGGACTACCAGGTACAGTACTTTAACAAGTGTAACATATATAAAGAGGTTGGCCAAAAGGAAGTGGAATCTACAGGATTTAATTCAGCAAATCAGTTCGAACTTCCTATTGTTTAATTGCTGGATGGGCAATTATCTTTTAGCTGGCAACAAGATATGTAACCCTAACTGATGCAATGAGTAGCCTCTCATTTCTTAAACAACAATGTTTTACATCATTTTAAAATAGTTTTTTATAATGTTGGACAAAAGTCCCCTAAAAGACAACAACTCAGTCATCTGTGGTGCTTGATAAGTCTATCATTACTGTGTTTTCTTTATGCTTTCAGGCATGTACAGAAGTTGAGCTCTGTTACGAGAGCAACAATGTGACAGACATGTTTCCTCCGATGGCTTTCACTGAGAAAGATCGTGAAACTTACTGCTCCAAACGCTGGGGCGTGATTCCAAGACCTGGCTGGCTTCGAACTCAATTTTGGGGTGACGGTGAGCACTGAATAAGAAAAGCCTCACTCTGGACTGCTGTTGCCAACCATGTTTGGCATTAACAGTTGTGTTCAGATTAACTGAACACACAGAGCAAGTTTAAAAAGAGGGAAAAGTTGATAATGAATTAAAAGAAAACAAACTAATATGACTTAGAAAATAAATATATATATATATATATATATATATATATATATATATATATCATATTAAGAACAAACATAATAAAACAACAATCAATTTAAAAAGTTTCTCATAGCCATTTGTCTTTTTGCATTAATGAGTTCTCGTTTGTTCAGCACTCTCCACAGCAAGCAATATCATTTTTTCCAATGGAAACCTGGACCCCTGGGCCAATGGAGGGGTGAGTGTTACACTCAAATAGCTACTTCTCAGTTCTCCTGACCCACTGTAGTCCATTGGAGTTAATCAATGCTCAAATGCTTAGGTGCGCAAGTCTTTAAGTTCATCCCTGATTGCTCTCAACATCTCCGAGGGAGCCCATCATCTGGACCTCAGGTAAACTAAAGGATTCTTAAAGTTCCTGCACTTTTCATGATGTTCTTAAAGGAAATTCTAATTGAACTTTTCTCTATGGTTGTTTTTTTGAAGGGGAAATAATGAAGCTGACCCACCATCAGTCATCAGAGTTAGAAAGATGGAATCTGAGATTATTGCACAGTGGGTGAAGATGGAAAGGATTAGATTATCAGAGTGACTGTTACAGTTTTCCTTTTTTATTTTTAAAACAAATCTGTTAGGATTTACTGTACATACAACCAAAGAAAATTTACAAGACTTCTTTGAAAGTGAGGATCAGGACAGCACCTTGTAAAATGCTCCGAGGGAAAATGCAAAGATCATTGAGTTTAAATTCATAATACATTCTGCATACAAGCTGTAAATGTATCCAATACCTTTTAATCACCCATTGGAAAAGGATTGAGTTGATATCAGAATGTATTATTCTTCTGGATCTGGAAAAACTCAAATTGATTATGGATTTCAGAAATCCAAATGTTTAATGATGCTTTAGGAAACATTTCCAAATTAAAGCTGGTGCCATATACAGTATTACCATCACATACACATAACATACCACTAACTTCTTGCTGGAATGAAATTTTTGAGGGAAATCTTGACAGAAATATTCTGTATTTGTTGTTAATAAAGTTGTATGTTCAGAAAACAGAAATAATAAAAGTGATATGAAACAAAAACATGAATGCTGATATCGAGTTCATTCTGAAAATACTTTCAATTCCTTAAAGATATTCATTTATTTGTCCCTCAAAGGGGAAACTTAAGTGTTATAGCAGGAAAAGAAAGAAAAACAAAAACAACCAAAAGAATATTACTCCTATAATACAGTGAGGGCAGTAATTTTATAAATATTTTATAAATAACACTTTATAATGTTGACAGAGCCATGTCTAGTGGAGAAAACTGCGTACACTACATATATATGAATATACACTATAAAGTTAACTTAAATCAATTTATACTGTTGCACACAAAAGAAGGCAAGGCAAGTTTATTTGTATAGCAGGTTTCATTCACAAGACAATTCAAAGTGCTTTACAAAGAATTTAAAAGCAAAAAAGCTTTGCACTGCTATGAGTCCAGTCCAGTTTGTAGTTGGTGTGAACACCCAGGTACTTACGAGATGTCACCATCTGAATGTCCATTCCCTGGATGGTATTTGGATTGTTGTTGGCAGGGAGTTATTGCACTTCGGAAATCCACCCCCAGTTCTCTAGTTCTCCCTGCATGGATCAGGGAGCCAGTTCACAAAGTCCTGCACCAGTCCTCTGTACTCCCTGTCATCCCCGTCTGCGACGAGGCCGGGGATTGCTGAGTCATCTGAGAGCTTCTTTAGGTGACGGGATGTGCACGTTGTGTGACAAGTCTTCTGTGTTGAGGGTGAAAAGGAACTGAGCCGGGTCAATTCCCCGCAGGCACCCGGACGCGTAATCGCCTGTGGTGGTGTTCCGTGGACGTTGATAGTCCAGAATCCACACAGCTGGTCTGGGCAGGACTTCAGAAGCCTGGAACTGACGCCGTCTGGACCAGAGTTGGGCCGGTAAATTAAGCATCAGGGGCCAGAGAGGGGGAGGTGAGGGTCCACTGGAGGTGTAGATGCTGGGTGGTCAAACCTTTTAGTGAAGATGATCAGGTCATTTGCCCACTTCTGGTCCCCCACTGCCAGGGAGTTGGGTCCCTTGTGGCCAGATTTTGGTCCCATTTTTATCTCCCTCTGAACACCAAGCTCCCCCTCATTTCTTGATTTAAAGACTCTCTTATTCTCCCTAAGGAGAAACTTTCAATTAAAACATAGAAAGTTTTATTTATTATTCTTAATTTTTCCCATTACTTTTTGGTCGCTTTAAAAGTGGGAGTTTAAAAGTGTCACATAGAAAAAAATGGTTGTAATTCCTACACTGTTGACCCAGTTTGAATGTAAAGGCTCTCAAATAAGAGCTGAAATTCTGCAGTAAAGCACATCTTTATTTGAATTTTAAATCCATTGTGGTGTTGTATAGAACCAAATAGCTCTGCCTCAGGAAGTTAGGCCATGCAGCCCCCTGGCTGCCCCTGGCTGCCCCTGGCTGCCCC